CATTAACCGGCTCCATGGAGGATGTTTCTAAAGAATTTATACGTTACTATGAAGGCCACCATCGTAGCACTCTAATGGCCCCGGTAACCAATGAAGAGATCAAGTCCACCCTTAGAGGCATTGAAGGAGAAAAATCCTCGGGTCTGGATGGCTACACCTCTACCTTCTTCTTAAAGAGTTGGGATGTGGTTGGTAATGACCTTGTTGCGGCAATCAAAGAATTTTTTCGAACCGGGTCCATCCTCAAGCAATGGAACCACACCGGAATCACGCTTGTCCCTGAGTCCTCCCACTCCTCTTGAGTCACGGACTTTCGGCCAATTGCGTGTTGCAACACGGTTTACAAGATTTGCTCCAAAATCCTCGCAAGGAGAATTAGTGAGGTCCTCGACGCTATTGTTGATGAAGCCCAAGCCGCTTTCGTGAAGGGAAGAAATATGACGGACAATATTCACCTCATGCAATAATTACTTCGTCAATATTTGAGAAAAAGAGTCTCCCCGAGATGCTTGATCAAGATCGATCTCCGTAAAGCATTCGATTCCGTCTCATGGGCCTTCTTGAGGCAAACGCTTGAGGGTTTAGGCTTCCCAATGGCTTTCACTAAGTGATCATGGAGTGCGTCACCACCCCTTCGTATTCCTTATCCATCAATGGAAGCCTTAAAGGCCATTTCAAAGGAGCTCGTGGGCTAAGACAAGGTGACCCTCTCTCGCCTTTCTTTTTTGTTCTTTGTATGGAATATTTATCTCGACTCATTAAATGGCACACGGAGGATGACCCGAACTTCAAATTCCATCCTATGTGTGAGAAGCTTAAAATCTCTCACCTTGTCTTCGCCGATGACCTCATGCTCCTCTCTCGGGGGGACTCGGGGTCAATTCAATTGCTTATGAATTGTTTAAGGGATTTTGGAGCAAAATCGGGGCTTGAAATGAATATGCTCAAATCCAACATATATATGGCCGGAGTTAAAGAACAAGATCGTGAGACAATCCTTGATGACACTTGTTTGCAAAGCGGGCCTATGCCTTTCCGTTACCTCGGGATTCCCCTCACTGCGGATCGCATTACCGGGAGGCTATTTGATGATATGATCAAACAAGTTGAAAGCCAATTAAGTGGATGGAGGAGTCACTCCCTTTCCTATGCCGGTAGATTGGAACTAATTCGGTCGGTCATTCAAGGAATCGCTTGCTTTTGGATGGGCATATTCCACTTGCCGGGCATTGTTCGAACCAAGATCATTCAACTTTGTAGGAGGTTCTTATGGGGCTCCAAAAAAGCCCCCGTTGCATGGGATATTTTGTGTCTACCTCGTGCGGAGGGTGGATTGGGGCTCCGTAACTTGGACGCATGGAACCGAGCCCTTCTCATGAGGACTCTTTGGAATATGCAAGCAAAGAAGGATTCACTTTGGTACAAATGGATCCACAACATCTATTTGAAGGAGAAAACTATTTGGGATTGACAAGTTTCCAAAAATGATTCCCCCCTCTTCAAATCCCTCTTTGAAATCCGGCAAAGCTTGATTGAAAAAGCGGGTAGCGAGCATGGCACGGAAGCCCTTCTCCGTGCTTGGAATTTGCGTGGCAAACAAGATGGAATGAGTAAGTGCTATGACTTTCTTCGTCCCAAAGGTATCGAGAAGCCATGGACCGGGGTTGTTTGGGAAAGTTGCAATACCCCTAAGCATTCTTTCATCTTATGGCTCGACGTAATGAATAGGCTCCAAACAAAGGATAGATTGGAATTCCTCAACGAAGACCCCACATGCCTCCTTTGTGGTACCGCAAACGAATCCTCGAGTCATCTCTTCTTCGAGTGTCCCTTAGCTCGGAGATTTGGAGTGCAATTAGAGTTTGGGTTAGCCTCCGTCACATGCCATCTACCCTTAAAGGCGCCCTCAAATGGACTAAAAAAGAAGGGAAAGGTACGACTTGGCGAGCCAAATTGAAGAAAGCGGCACTTGCGGCAACCGTCTACTTCATTTGGAACGCACGCAATAGATTCATTTTTGAAAGCGAAAGTCAACCTCCAAGCCTCGTGATTAGAAAGGTAAAAACACATGTTTACCGCACTATCTTTGCTACCTACTCGAGTGTTCTTGCCGAATTCGAAAGGAGATGTCTTGGCCTTGAATTTTGAAAAATTTTGAGTTGGTTGTTGTAAAGTGTATGAGCACTTAGATGATATTGAAGAGAGGAAATTAATTGTTTCTCTTCTTCGAGTGAGCACCCGGCTTGTGGTTGCCCTCGTTTATTTTGGTTCTTGCGAGTGAGGAGCCGACATGTGTCTACCCACTACGCTTTTGATAGCCGTCCCGGTTGTATGACTTTCAGTTTTGATCAATACAAATTTATTTAACGATAAAAAAAAAAGTTATCATTGTAATTATTATACTAGTGTGTGCATTGAAATGTGTGCCCAATTTTTCTATAAAAGGGGCAAGATATGTAGTGTAATTCTACACACGGGAAATAGAAACGAAAGTGAAGAAAGAAAGAAAGAACAGTTTGAGTTATATCCGGTTTTATACATTGTGTTCTTTATATTCCTCACATTTTTATAACAAAAATGAAAATGTTATCTGATTTTACTCTAATAATAAAAAATACTCTTTACAACTTCTCTTTCTTTTTTACTCATTATTATTCCTTTTAAAACTTTATTTAATATTATAAAATATTTAATTAACTTAGACTATAAGTGCATTTCAAAATTTTTTTTATATATATTTTATCAATTATTCATATATGATGCATGAAAATAATGGCTATTAATTATTTTTTACTGAACATATGAAAAAAAAATATATATATCTATTGTTGACATCCGGATCGGCCTGACCTAGGTTTTGCAGTTCGAAAGTGGGAGGCCGGGAGGAGACGACCCTGTGGTCTGAACCGGGTAGCAAGCCAGCACAAGGTGCCTAGCTGACTCGAAGAAGAAGTTGACCACGACAGCCACCAGAACGTACTAGGAGATCGGCGTCTTGCGCTCCATGTGGGGACGCCGAACTCCACAGACGCCGAGCAGACTTGTGGACCCCTAAGAGACGGGAGGTCATCAAATGCCGGAAGTCCGACCTGAAGATTCCCTGAGATCGGTACTTACTCGAGAGCGGGACTCGAAAATAGTATAACTACTGCCACTTGGCGACTAATGATTGTCGATGGGACAAGTCACCTTAGCCTACCCCACTATGGTATCTAGCCCAACAAAAAAGTCTGTCAAAATTAATGCTCCCCATGTGTGCATTAAATGTCTGGCAGGTCATAATTGAGAAACCTTAAATCGCATTCAATAACTGTCAGGGAAGCGTCGACCTGCTCGTTAGGGTTACTGTACGACAAGACAAGATAAACAGTGCCGAATTTAAGGTTATTGTAAATAGAGGACCCATTTCATTTATTTTGGGTTGTTGAATCATCAACTACTACTTTCTCTCTCTAGAATCTGTAATAAATTCCCGCAACTACTCCCAACTGTAACAGAAGTGCCGACCTCATTATTAAAGGCCGACCTCATGATTACATAATAAGAGCTTTTTTAATCGTATTTCTTCATTGTTTTCTCTCTTCTACTTTCATAAAATTTAATCTTAACAGTTGATCGGATCCGTCCATCAACATCAACTTTTACAAATTAAATATAATCTATCATTTTTTATTAAAAATCTAACTATTATTTATAAATTAAACAAGCTATACTATATGAATTAAAAAAATATTATATGTAAAAGGATTGAACCTAGAAGAATGACATTTGTTGATGAAAGGATCCGATCATCGGTTAAAATGAAATTTAATGAAAATTAATATTAAAAAGATAGGAAAGAGATACGGTTAAATTGGGTTTTATTACGTAATTACGAGGTCGGGCTCTGATAGTGGGGTCGGCACTTTTGTTACACTTGTGGATAATTACGAGAATTTATTACAGTAGAGAGATAAAGTAGTAGTTGAGAATGCAACAACCCATAATAAATGAATTGGGTCTTCTATTTATAGCATCTCCAAATCCGACACTGTCCAGGTACTGTTCACCGGTCTTGTCGTACAGCAATATCGCAGTACGGGTGGGCGCCGCTCTGACAGTTATTTAATGCGATTTGAGGTTTCTCTAATCATTACCTGCCAGACATTTAATGCACACATGAGAGATATTTAATGCTGACAGACTTTCTGTCGGGCTAGGTCCTCTAAGATAGTAGGCTAGGCGGATATGTCCCATCGACAATCATTAGCTGCAAAGTGGCATTATTATATCATTTTCGAGCCCCGCACTCGTTTGTCAGCCGATCATGCTAAATCTTCTGGTCGGCTCCTAAATCTTTGTTTGTCCCCCAACCCTCAAGTACCTATTTGTCAGCTCGGCTTCCGTGGAGGCCAGCCCCATGGCTGGCAGGTCGAGGTGCCGCTCTCGAGAATGGTGACACTCGTCGCTTCGATTAGTCTGACTTCTCGTTCAGCTTGGCACTTCCTCAATTATCCAAGATACCGGTTCGGGTTTTGAAGTCGGCCCCTTCCGGTTCAATCCCGGCTAACTCGAATATCAATAAAATTAAAAAAAATAGTTACTACTTTTTGTTTTTTCAAATACAAGTTTACTTGACACACTATTACATATGTTGTACAGTAGATCTGATCCCCTGCCCTGCCCACTAAAAAATTTTACATGAAAAACGTATTTTGAGAATACGTTTTTCAATTAAATTTAATTGAAAAACGTATTCTCAAAATACGTTTTTCATGTAAAATTTTTTGGTGGGCACAAGTGAGCAAAACCATGTTGTACAGCTAGGAATAATTTATTGAAAATTTTCAAATCCAAAATGCAATGTTTCCCAATTTAAACACTGAAGGATCTCGATTAGCTGGTTGAGCTGAGGCATTTATGATCTAGAAGTTCACAGAGCATAGAGTAGTTTCTCAATTCCGAAGGTCTTTCTTTCTAATACTAGTCTTTGCATACAACGTCGCACCAAGAATCTCAAGATGCATTTTAGCGAGAACGAGGGGATCGAGAAAAAAACCTTCGTGGTAACAGGCGGGTTGGGCTTCGTCGGCTCGGCCCTCTGCTTGGAGTTGGTCAGAAGAGGGGCCCGTCAAGTCCGGGCCTTTGACCTCCGGCCGGAGTCCCCTTGGTCCAACGATCTCCGAAGTCGGGGAGTTTCTTGCATTCAAGGTGTGTGTATATATATCTGTGTGTGTGTGTGTTTATTTTGTTTTATTTCCTTTTAGCAGAAAACATTGTTCGACCTTAATCAGCATGCGAAATCAAGATTCAATCTTTTTGCTGCCATTTATTAGTCTATGGAGCTTATTTGTGAATGAATGCTGTAAAAATGTACTTAACTTGGTTGTGTGATCATAGATCGAGGGTTAATTCCTTCCTGCCCATGTGAGCCCTTGGATCAACACATACCCACATGGGTGTGTGTGAGTGTGTGTGACCCAACAGTGATAAAACCCCGTGTGGTCACTTCCCGCACGGGTAGGATCGAACTTGCCCAGATTGAGAAAGGGGAAAAGGTCGAAACGAAATTTTTGATTCGATTTTATTCCAAGTGATGGAATGTGATTTCCTATTCCATTGAGTGGGTCTTTTTTAAGTGGTGAATTTGTAGGAGAATCGAGCTAGTTATACTTCCTTTACCTGGGATGAGTGATTTTACAATGCTACTGATGGTTTCTAAGCTTGATGGCTTTTGAGTTGAAGGGGATAAAAGGGAAACTAATTAAAGAAACACAATGGTAAAAAGAAGGGTCTTGGACAATGAAAAAGATTTCTATTAGTTGCTTCTCTTTGTGTTGCGTGTGTTCTTGTCAAAATTTGCATCAGGGTAAAAAGATGTTAGTTAACTCGGTAATCAATTGAAACCATGACTGAAAGTTGTATGTGCGTAGGTGATGTTTCCGCTAAACGAGATGTTGAGAAGGCCTTACGTGGGGTAGACTGTGTTTTCCACCTTGCTTCTTACGGCATGTCCGGAAAGGAGATGCTTCAGTTCGGCCGAGTTGACGAGATTAACATTAATGGGACACTCCACGTGTTGGATGCTTGCGCGGAGCACCAAGTCAAGAGACTTGTTTATGTCAGCACGTATAACGTCGTTTTCGGAGGGAAAGAAATTGTAAATGGAAATGAAGCCTTGCCTTACTTTCCCATGGATGATCATGTGGACCCGTATGGCCGTAGTAAATCCATAGCCGAACAACTCGTCCTGAAGAGCAATGGTCGACCCTTCAAGTGAGTGTAAAAATACTGTGTGTTCAAAATCAACCACATGGGTTATGGTAAAATTTTGACCTTTTTAACTCGCACGGGTAAATTATTTAGTTGTTGTTAATGGGCTGTACAGGAACAAGAAAGGAAAGTTATACACCTGTGCTATCCGACCAGCAGCTATATATGGCCCGGGTGAAGAAAGGCACTTTCCGAGGATCATAAAACTAGCAAAGTTGGGCCTCGTGCCTTTCAAGATTGGGGGAGAGAGCGTCAAATCTGACTGGGTTTATGCCGATAACCTCGTGTTGGCCCTGCTATTGGCTAGCATGGGCCTTTTGGACGACATTCCTGGTAGACTCGGTGAGCCGGTTGCTGCTGGTCAACCCTACTTCATATCCGACGGTAAAAAATGTCATTCTTTTTAATTATCTAAAGGCGGGGCCCCCTAAAATCTCATTCTTGGTATTCTTGAAAAATAATGTAATGTTCTATTTGATAATTGAATAATTTCTTGATGGCTTTCTGTATTTTTTATTTTTATTTTTATTAATCAACAGGCTGCCCCGTCAACAGTTTTGAGTTCATCAAGCCACTGCTCAAGGGTTTGGAGTATGACTTGCCGAAGTTGAGGTTGACTGTACCACATGCTCTTTTTCTAGGGAAGTTTTTCTCAGTGTTTTATTCGCTTTTGTATCCGTGGCTTGATCGGAAGTGGCTTCCTCAACCTTTGATCCTTCCTGCTGAAGTGTACAAGGTTCGACTTACATAAGTTTTCCTGCTGAAGTAGTGTGTACAAGGTTCGACTTGGATGCATTTCGTGGTTTTGTCTCGTTTTATCATGTTCTTTCCAAAACGAAATGTGTGCCCTTCTCTCTTTTCCATTCCCATGTCATAAGTCATAGCAAATTGTATATGGTTGTGGTTTGGTAAGCATATAAACTAGCTTATAACTTATTTGTTTAGCTTATATGTTTCATGCATTCAAATAAGTTTGGTTTGGTAGGACGAACTTTTTTTAAAAACTTGAGTTTACCTCATAAGTTTTCTTGGGTAGCTTTTCAAATAAGTCAATTGAATTTTCTGTATCACCGAATTTTACCAAACACTCTTATTATCATATAAGCTAGTTTTTCAGCCATAAGTCATAAGCTCGAAATTCACTTAAAAACTATAAGCTAATTTATCAGCTATAAGTTAGCTTATCAGTTAGGTTTACCAAACACAACCGATATCTATGCATACTTTGATCTCTGTCTTTTTCCAATGCCGAGCAGGTTGGCGTGACCCACTACTTCTCGATCCTTAAAGCAAAGGAAGAACTTGGCTACAGGCCTTTCGTCAGCCCTCAAGAAGGCATGTCCAACACAATCGCGTACTTCAAGGACAAGAAACGGAAGACATTGGATGGGCCCACCATATACGTGTGGGCCTTCTGTGTAATCGGGATGGCCACGTTGTTTTGTGCCGCGTACTTGCCCGATATCGGGCCCATTCCCTTGTTTAGAGCTTTTAGCCTTTTCTTCATGCGCTCGATGAAAACGATGAGACTCGTTTTCCTACTTTCTGTGGCGGCTCATTTTGTCGAGGCCGTTTATGCATGGTGGTTAGCGAGAAGATTCGATCCTTCGAACGCGAGAGGTTGGTTCTGGCAGACGTTGGCTTTGGGGTTTTTTTCGTTGCGTTTTCTGTTGAAGAGGGTAAAAGAAGTGAAGTCGGAAGATTTACATAACAATGATAACAAATGATGAGTTACTTTGTGATGTTTTTTTATAGTTGATGACTTGATGAGATGTTTGTATTTGACAGTGTATTGAGAATTTCCAGTTTTCTTGGTGTAATGGTTAAATCATGAGAACTATAAAATGATCATAATCTTAGTTCTTAATGTTTGTATATAAAAATAACTCACTCTATTCTCAATTCATACTCAAAATTTAACTCATCCTTAATTCATACTTAAAATTTAACTCAATTTTAACTCAACTTCACTGTATTCAATATTATTAATATAATTAAATAATACCAACCAATCATTCTTACACATCACAACAACTTTAATTTACTATTTATCTACTCACATAATTTTAACTATCATTTCACATTCTCTCTTATATATTTTCATCAAGTCAACTTAGTTATTTTATATAAAATATTATTTTAATATAAAATCAAAATCCCACTAAAATTAACTTTGTTTAACCGAAAAAACCCATTTCGTACGGAAATATTTGTATACAAACACGCTCTAATTGATCCATGTCTTTGTGAGGACACTAGTTTTGAGTTTTTTACTATTAGATCACACTTCTATTGATCCAACAATTAAAAATCTAGTAATATAGATGTGTGTTAAAAATCCAATGAAGTCCATAGGCATAAATTTTATCCAGAGACATAAGAGCTGATAATAATAAATATAAATAGATCAAACTTTATATAAGTGTGTGTGATCGAAAGATTAAAAATCCTGTGAGATCGATGGGCATAAATTTCCTCAACAGACAACAGATCATTGGCAAAAGCAAAATAAGAGCTGAAAATAAACATAACTAAGGAAAAAAACATGAAGCAAACACACCGTAAAATTATCTCTTCTTACACTTGACCCGTCGAGAACGAAAACAAACTAGGAAGCCGTGCATCGGGCAATAAACAGACGCTACATAAGTAACAATACTAAAGAGGAGTTTTTCCGGTCGATTAAAAAGCTCCAACTCTACCTGAATGTCTGCAGAGGACTAACTACTAGAGTCTGACTAGAAACAGCCCCATGGTCCTTATTCTAACAGTAAAGTTACAGGGGAAAAAAAAAAAAAGCACAAAAATAGGTTATGTTTTTCCACACAAATGAGAAACTCTTGCAGAAAAAAAAAAGAAAAAAGAAAAAGGTGGGGACAAAAAAAAAAAGGAAAAAGAAGAAAGATTCACTTCCAGGGCATTGCTGACATGGAATGGGGATGGTTGTTATTGCACGCACCGGAGCTGAGATTTATCGGGCTGGCGGGCCCACCAGACGACCCACTAAATGTTCCTCGTGAAGGTGAGCTGCTGGTACCAGTTGGCCCGCCAAGGTTCACCTTTGGTGGAGCCGATAATGGCTCTATGTAGTTCGCAGATTTCGGTTCTTTTCGACTGTCGGGCATGAAGCTTCCGACTATTACCTGGAATTTTAGAAATAAGTAATTTAAAGAAAGTTTTTTTTTTTTTTTTTTTCAATAAGAGGGATGAATCAATGTACTTGATGTATATTAATTAGCATTAATATACATTTATTTAGTAGGACTTAATAAAAGATGGGACATACATAATGCTTGGTTATGTGGCTGCCTAAGATGAGACAAGGGAAGTGAGAATTTTAAACAGAAAGACTACATTATTAGATTTGGACCACAGTAGACAAAACTTATTATATAGTATCCATGTGAATTAAAAAAAAAAAGGGTACAATGGGGCAACATAAAATAATCAAAAGTCCATAGATTGTGGAGTTTGTTTGTGATTACATTTTTTTGTCATTTCCTGAGCCAATAGAGGGTAATTTTTCATTTCTGAAGAAATAAAAGATCATAATATAAAGTGTGATTGATTGTATGTGGTGTGAGATGGTAATATTGATTGTGTATAGATTGTTTACGAGATTTCAAGGTTATTACGTTGCACGTTCAAGTCAAAGATGGTCTGCCGAAAATAATTCTACCTGAACAGGAGAGGCGGCTATCAGTAAACCGGCTACACAACCACCAAAAACCCTTCCATCAGGCCCGGCTAATGTTGTGCTCAATCCACCAGTTCTGCTTTTATGACCACCAATATCCGTCAGCATAAATGACCCCGAGAGAGACAATATATCAAATCGTCCCTACACCAAACCCGAAAAAAGAAAAAAAAAAAAGGATTATGGTAATATGAAATTTAACAGTTCCATGGATGTTTGGACGGAAAAATGAATTATACCAACACAATGCCATTTCCTAAAGTAATCCATGAATTAGATCTCCTTAAAATAAAAAGAACATATAGAGAAAAGGAGGGGCAAAAAAGATAAAAAAAAAAGCATACCTCGTAAGTTGCAGTGCCGCCGGAAGTTGCAGCTTGGCGGAGTGTGACATTAGATATGGCACCATTTGCGGATAGGATACAAACAGCCCTTGGGCCATTCTGAGAAAATGCCATTATTTTCGAAGATACATCCTGAAACCCAATAGTTAAATGCTCGTCAACATGTGGGAAAATCACTTGTTTATCATAGTTTTGTGCCATGTGAAATTTGAGACCTCCCTCGTGTCGTTTAAAAACTCCAACCCCATTGCAACACGGCGAGAAAATGTAAAAAGGACCAACAAAACCCCTCTTAATAAACTGGATCAACGTCAAACATAACATTATAACAGCATTCTCAGACTTAGGTTCAAGGCGTTTGTATATACGATTTATGTAAAACTTGAGACTTCAAAGTAAATCCTATGATTCATGATCTAATAATGCAACCCCAAAAGATTTTTTTTTTTTTTTTCGACGACTTAAAATGAGAGAAAAGAAAAAATGTTCGAGTTCGTTAACCTCTCCTGGCTTCACTTCGATAACATGAGGTATGAATCCAATCCCATTTGACCCTGCAAGTATAATCTTATGTAAATTATTCAAGCTATATTAGAACAATAACAAAAATTACAATGCTGAGACGATTGAGAGAATGCTACAACAAGTTAATAAATGCGACATTCGTGTAAATAAAAACCTCAAATTTTTTTAATCGAAAAGATAGATAGACAATGGAGCAAGATGATAGCAGAACTAAAAATTAAGTCCAACCCTTTAGAAAATGAAATGCAGCAAATGATATATTAGATAACAATCTAGCCCAAGCATGGTTGAAAACAGTAAAGTAAAAGAATACTTGTCACATAAACTCTAGATATAAAATAAAGAAGAAATGTGACACAGCTCTTGAGTCATACTAGGAGAGAACAAGCATAAGTCATACTATGAAGTATTTTAATAGCAAACAAGAAAGTAGCTGCACACATGGGGGGTAAGCTGGTCAATTCCTTCTAATTAGATTCTTGAGGTTGGTCAGAAGATCCAGCAGATACACCATTAAATATCCATAAAATAGCACAGACAGATAAAAAATATATACATTTCTCATCACTAAAGATAATCTAAATCAAAGAGTCACACCTATTTATAGTCATTCTCCAGAAGAAAAACTATCAAAAACTAAAAGCAGAAAACATAAATAGTTCAATGCATCTCAGACCAGAGAAAACATGAACTAATCGATGGTCAACAAGAAATTAGGAATCTCAAAACTTTATCATCCAAATATTAATTTATTACTACATATATCAATGCTAAAACATCTTAGGATATCCATCCATTCTCCACTAAAAGGTAAAAGCTTTGATATCCTCACAAAAATATATTATTCCACTCTGTTATTGGGGACCAAAAAAAAAAA